GTTTAGATGCGGCTTCTAGCCTTCCATTCATCTATAAGCATGCTCACACCAATACCCACACCCACACCCTCATTTCATTAATGTAAAAACACTTTCTATGGTTTTTTTTTATTTGCCAAACTGATGACAAAAAAATGGACTAAAATTGGTTTATTAATAATAATCAACGAGTTCCTTTTAGAACTCTCATTTCAGCAGAACACATAAGATATTCGATGAAATTTTGTAGACAATTTTTTTTCTCAATATATTTTTTCGCTGTTTCATTCTTCGATACATCAAAACTTCAACAATTTGGAAATGCGAGATATGATTTTCGGGACAAGTCAGAGTTTGTCTAGCATTGACAATCAATTAGAAAAATTGATTTTCATCATCTGAAGGACTAGGCATATATCTATCGATAAAAAACAACATAGTTCTCTAGTCTGAAGTAATTAAGAACAAAATTTGTTCTGCATTCGATCATAACTGAAAAAAGGAAATTTTGAGAGAAATGAAAAAGCAGTTTTTACTCTTATATAATCTTCCTATTACTATTTAAAAATATTGTCAAATCAAATATAAATCGTGATAATATATTCATCTTGAATACTAGGGGGATCAAGAAGTTCTGAGAATTTTAAAAAGGACTATTCCAAGTTTGATAACCTATCCAGAATTAAAAAACCAAACACACCATCTTGTAGAGCAAGTCGAGGAGCGTCGAATGGTTTATCACAAATCTTGCTTTCATAAGATTTTGATGGAAAAAAACTGAATTTACTGGTAGACGCCCATAGATTCAAAGACTCAGCAACAGCTACTACCCGTGAAAAACGATGGTGAATCATCGAAAAGTCGCATTTTTGCCTATCAAAGATAGAACGATTGGAGATGCTGAATATATGAGCTTGTAGCTCGTGAAAAGCGCTACATAGCTGTACATAGGAAAATTATTTTTACAAACACGCTCGACTGATATCAAGGCCCACAATGGTCAGTGCTTTCACTCGATGGTCGCCAGTTAGTAAATACAGTCTGGTTCCCTCAAAATCTTATGAAAACAAGATTTGTTATATACCATTCGACGCACCTCGACTTGCTCTACAACATGACATGTTTTGTTTTTTTAATTCTGAATAGATCACCAAATTCGACACGCTCCTTTTTAAAATTTTCAGAACTTTTTGATCCGCCTATGTAAAATAAAAATTCATTTGTTTTTATTTACTTGTTGTGTTACACTTTTTTTAAAGATTGATTATTATAGTTAGTTTTCAATAGTAACTTATAAGAAATATGCTATTATATTTTATATAAAACATCTACTTTGTGGTTGTGTGTGAAGAAAAGATTCACAATCACACTTTTAAGTCATTGTAGATCTTTAAAATGTATCTCTAAGATGCGCCAGATTTGATCACATTGGAAAAATATTTATTTCTTTTGTAGAACTAACTCAACAAAAAGAATTGACTGATTTTTCTAGACAATTATTAGTTCAAATAATTTAAAAAATCATATCTATTTTTATGAATACATACATTAAAATACTCAAGCAATATGTTCATCTATTTATTTAAAACATCAGTTTTTGTTTAACAAAACATCGAGTTTTCTCCGGGGAGATGGGGGGAGGAATTTAAGAAAGAAAACTTTTCATTTGAGAATATTTTTGTTGTTTTATAGTAAAATGTTTTCTCGTATCGAAAAGATCAATATTGAAAATTGTTCGATTATTCTTACATAGATTGTTATCTATCTATTTATTTATTTATTTTAAATACGAAACATGCCAAGTACATTCGATTGTGATCAATGATGAATGTTATTTTGACATGCTTTTTCTTTTCAAAGATTTGATAAATGATGCAATTAATTCATATAAAACAATATAATAAATCATTTTCTTTGATGTTATTTTAATATCTTCTAGTTGATTATCTTATTTGTAATACTAAATATATTTAATTCTATTTAAGTATCTCTTCAATATACTATCGATTGACATAGATTGAAATGCTATATATGTGTGTGTGTATCATTAATCTTGGATAGCACAAACTTGATCTCTTTGATCTGTTTAAATAATGTTCTTTCTCTCACACGTTCAAACCATTTATTTTCTTGTATATATATGCCGACATAAATAGATGAGAAAAACTTGCCAATACACAACATGTTCGTGTAAGTAACAATGAATTAGTCGGCTATATTTGTGTCATATAATAACAAGTATGAGAAGTCTCTCTCTCTCTATGTTAAATGATCAATGTCTGTCAAACGAAAAGTACTTAATGTGAGATTTATGATTTTTTTATATTCGTCAATGGATTTGAATAAAACAAAAAAACAAAAAGATGAAAGAGAAATAATATTATTATATCAGAGTGTTCATATATAATCATAACTGCTGATAGAATCATCAAATACAATAGAAAAATGTCAATAAATTCTACATTGGATAAAAAAAGAAAAATCGATATATATATATCGTTATTAACCAATCGTTTGTTCTTTTTTTTTTTCCTCAATCATAGTGATTTATGATCGATCGAACTCGCACACTTGCGTATATGTCTTTCTCTCTTTCTCTGTCTCTGTTTTTTCTTTCTCCACCTTCAATCACTCATCATTTACTCTCTTATTCGTATACATATACATATTTTATTCAATGACGACATCAACTAAAACACAGCAACTCTATGGTGAATATATTAATCCAACGGTAAATCTATTTTTTTTTTTTTGTTTGTTTCGACAGTCTAAAGGAAAAGTTTTGTGTTTTTTTTTTGTTTTAAATTAAATAGATTGATCAATATTCACCACAAAAAGAAAGTCCATTAGTATTAATGGCACAAGCATGTAATAATATTGGTAAAGAATTATCAATATCATCATCTCCTCCACTTATATATAAAACTCGAAAATCTAATTCACCACAAGAAATAAAAAAATCATTAAAACGAATAGCACCAACAACATGTTCATCACCACCAGCTAAAAAAAGTTGCTTTCCTCAAGTATCTTATTATCCATCATCATCATCATCATCATCATTTATGTTTGATTCATTATTTTATTATCATTTAAATAAAACATTTTCATTACCAACATTCGATTTATCATTCTTATCAACATCACCATTAAATTCTTCAGCTTTTTCTTTTCAACCTCAACAATCTTCATATTTAATGGATTCTATATTATCATCACCATTTATTTGTAATTGGATGGATACATCTATTCCTGATAGATTTTGTGGAAAACGTTTTACAAATCATATTCATCTATTTGAACATCTTTGTACAGAACATACATCAATATCATCTATTAAATCTTTATATCCATCTTATTATTCATCAACATCAGTAGAAAAACTATAGAAAACAAATAACAACGACAACTAAATTACAGTGAAATGGCGAGGCATTTTCTTTGTATAGATTTTCCGTTGTTTCTTTCTTTCTTTTTTGTTTTTTTTTGTTTTTTGCTTTGATATTACAAAATGAGATATTAGATTAGTTGAAATTCATTTTGTATTTTAAATAACGATCAAGTCATTGATTCATTTTTATTAGAAACAAAACAAAAAATGGGGAGGAGAGAAATTGAGCATAAATGACAATGAACTATAGATGAATCATGAAAAAGTCATTTATGTGTATATACACAAAAAAAAAAAAGCAATCACTTGAATAAGATGTATTGCTAGTCTTTTGATCTTAATGATAACAAATATTCTTTAGTTCATCTAGTCGATTTAAACGAGGGAATACACACTTTAGTGTCAATTACATATTTATAACACCTTTGAAAAATATCAAATATAACTAAAGAATGAATAATGTCATTGAAATAATCCATTAGATATTATCATGAAATTTGAATAAATTCGAAGAGCAGAGTTTCATTTGTTTTTTTTTTGTAACTAATTGAAAAAAATAATATTTTAAATACTTTGATATTGATGATACAATTAAAGTCAATAATGATGATATATAGTTTTCTATATGTATTGATAAGAAAAATACAGTTGTTTGTTCGGTTGTCTTGCTTTAGATTAACGATGCTTTTAACGAAGGAGGATCTTTTTTTGCTTTGATCGGTATGTTACAACATGCTCGATTAATCGACTTTCATTTTTTTTGTTTTTTTCTTCTCTTCATCCATTAGATTGAAGATAGAGAAATAGATCGATAGATAGACGACACGCTTGTTCACCTGCTGCATGGTTAATCTAAGTGTTACCACCTGTTTTCAATGTTTCTCAAAAAAAAAAAAAAAAAGAAAGAAAAAGAAAAATATGATCAAAAGGCTAATCAATCGACCACCTACATGTCAATGTTATTTTTTTCTAATTGACCTCCCATCAAACTCCCTCCTCTTCTTTCTCATTGATGTTTTTTTTTTGCTATACTTCTAAGAATACTATTCTAATCGATGTCTTGTTAATAGTACATTTCTTTTTGATATATATATATATCCGATCAATGTTATTCTTAAAACAGTATTGTAAAATGAAGTGTAAAAGAAAGTATCATATAATATAAAGTATTGTTTAGATATAAGATTTATTTTAATTGTGTTTTTAGTATTGACAAGTAGGTAATCGAATTCATTCACTTGAAAATGAGTCAATAAAAACATATCGATCAATAATAATTTGAACAATGATCAGAGAATAAAATCAGTTACATTCTTGAGAAAGACTATATACATATATGAGTCAAATATTTCGTTTAATCAAGATCTTGTCCAGATAAATTTGTTTTTGAGTGTCATATATGTTTAACATTCATATAAGTACGGTGTATGTATATAAAATGACTGTTTTTGTTTTTGATTTATCTCTTTTTTTTTTCTTTTTGATGAATATATAACTAGTCAGAATATCTGAAGCAGTAAAAATCGAAAATTTATGAATAAAACGAATTTCAAATATGGTTGGATTGATCCTATCTCTATCTAATGAGATATATTCTTGTTGAAACTATTCATTCATTCCTGACATAATGTCAAAGTACTAAACATACAAAGTTTTAGCAATTAAAATAAGTCATAAAATCGACTTGTTATGCTTGTTTTCAGCTCGCCTTTTTTTTTTTACAGGCAAAACCAAATGACCTAATGTTTTGAATTTGTATTTCATTTGACGTAACTAAATCGAATACTTAAAAACTTTCCTTTAATGATCATGTGGCAAATCCTCTCATAAGAGTTTTTCGTGTGAATATTATTCAACAAAATTGACTAAATATGTTTGTCGTATCAAAAAATACTGTAAATTCTGTACTATCAGAATCGTATAGCAAGTGATGCTGTATCGATTATACTACGGCATCATATCGAATAATTCGGTTTTTCGAAATAATCGTAAATGCAAAATAGCACTAAACTACTTCGACCATATTGGAGATTCGTTCTTTTTTGTTTTTCTAACTCAAGCTAAGTGTATTATGATTAGATGTGTTTTGTTACGAGGAATTCAAATATAGTCTTGGATTTCATGCTTGACTTTGTTTTGAATGTACAAAACTACCAAGAACGATCGAAAAAAATTGTACAGAAAAAAAAAATCCATAATTTTTTTAAATAAAAATATTTAAAATTAAAAGTTCTATAAACTCAAGTAAATTTCATCAAAATTGAAGATCATTTTAGTACAATTTAGTTAAAGTTCCATGGAAGTATCCAAATACTATTGATTAAAGATATTTTAATATAGTCATTCATTTAGAATAATAAAATAAATGCTTGAATAACATTGTTCTTTTGTTTTTTTTTTTTATCAATTTTATTGTTGTTTTATAGTTTCAATTAATATATTGTTTGTTATTTTCTTTGATATGGTACAATTATGTTGTTGTTGTGCCTGTTCATAAGAAGGTTGACCACCAAAAAATACAAGCCAAAAAAGAATACGAGCATCACCTTGACAACGGCTAATATCTGATGATAATGATAAATTTTTACATGCTTCAGTCATACAATTTAGAAATGTTGTATCACATATAAATTGTGTTTTACCACATGTATCATAACATAGATCATGTTCATTACAACATCCAATTAAAACATCTTCACCAATATTTTGAAGAAATTCATCAATATTCAAGGTCATTGGACCACAACCATTTGCTTGACGACGAAATCGATTAACAATACTACATGATGACTGAAGAGAAAGAATAAAAAACGAAAAAATGAATAGAAGCAGCATCTTTTCATCTAGACTAACGTTGATACTTGTGTCTATGTAATGGACAAGGTTTTTATGCACCTAATAATAAAAAAAAAAACACGTAATTTATTTTATTATTGATTTAAGAAGAAAAAATAGACCTGATGCTTCTGTAAATATATTTCATAAATGCGAAAGAGAAACATTATGTAAATTAGAAATAATATTCTAATTCAATGATCTTATTATACAAGAAAGATTTTGTTTTTTTTTTATGTATCACAATAAACACTAAATAACTTGTTTGATTCGCTTTAATGGAAATTATGTAATAAAATAAACTAGTTAATCTTTATTACGCAGTATTCACAATTAGGAACGTCGTCAAATATTTTCTAAGGAGGTGCAAACCAACATCAAAATAAATTTTTATTTGCGACAAGGTTCTTTTTTTCTTTAATCTGTACTCTTTCCCCAGATGTATTTTGGCTAACGCACAATATCAATTTCTCGATATGTTATTTTTCTTGATCTACTATTCATTGAGATGTACATGATGTTTTTTTCAGAAAAAAAAAGAAGGGCGTCTTTAGGATTCAAAAATAATGACTAACTGAAAACATAGTTGAAGTTTGATAATTGTTCAATATATAGTTCTGTGGATATGAATTGATAGCTCATCAGTAGATTTCAGACATATTTTAACGATTCGATGGAATAATGAAGAAAAAAAAAATATAGAAAGACGAACGGAAATTCAAAACAATTGATTGAAATATATTCAAGTATTAATCAATTTGAACTTTCTTTTACTATATTCTATACGATTGTAGTTAGATAAGTGAGACGAAATTTATATGAAATCCTTAGAAAAAGTTGAGTAATTATCATTCGTATTATTATAATAAAATAATATCACAATTAAAAAAAATGACATTATTCTACTTTATCTTTATTATTAATAGGATAATTTACTTGTACATGAAATTTTTGTCAATCGTACTAAATATTTCTAACAGACATGTGCACTGTACCTAAAAACTAAGGCAAGAGATTCTTGAAGAACAATGATGATAGTCAGATAACGGTGAAAGCAAATATTTTCTTAAACCTTCTCGATCAGCAGGCCACATCAAACAGTAACTTACATATTTTTTTTTCTCATATCTTTGTTCTATAATATTTCTAATAAATAGTGCTTCATTTATGAATACTTATTCAAAAACAACAACATAAAGTTGAAAATATTACGAAAGAATATATTACTAGGCAAGATGTAACAGAACTCCATATATACTTATAGAGTGTTCGTTTTCCTTCTAACTTATGTTGTAATTAAATTTGTACACGTTCAAGTTTAACATAAATTTAAATATTATGCATGTGATATAAACAAAAGACAAAATATTGTTTTTATTATTAAAAATTATATAAATAGAGATCTATGAAAATGAAATCAAAAGTAAATCAAATTTTTAAATTCTCAATTAATAATTCATAAGATATTGAAAGTGATTCATAATATTATTCATTCATCTATTTTTATTCTTTTGTTATTTTCCTTCGAATAATAAAAAAATTGAAGAAAATTGTAGATCTTAGATACTACAAACAATTTTATTTTTTATTTAATTAAACATTATAAGAATGACCGTTGATATTCTAAGTATTATTTAATAATCTTTATCTTCTCATTTTGTAGATAATTAATTTTAAGATATTCATTCTCAATTGTTCTACTTCATAGACTTCGGATTGATTTATACTTGTTAAATCTCAAAGCTAAGAATTATTAACTTTTTTTGATAGATTTATTCTATTTATAATCAAAGACGATTCAAAAAGTATTTTTATTGAATGTTTAAGTGAAATACAAACTTGATTAACTTTATCTTGTGAAATTTCATCCATAAAAATCATTGATTATAAGATTTACTCTAAATATTTCAATATAGATACAATGATCTAAGTTTCTTCTTTTGTTTTTATAAAATATCTCAACATTATTTAATTCATTCTTTTATTTAGATTTAATATATATAAAAAAAGATTAGAAAAAAAAAAATAAAACAACTAAGAAACTTTACAGAAGAAAATAGACAGTTTCACAATCAATCTAAATAAATAAATTTTCATACAGTATAACTAATCAAATATATCTTTTTTTTTTGTATCAAGAAAAAAGTTCAATAAATAAATAAATAAATCCATTATGCTATACTTGTTATAGTTGGTAATTGTTGTTTTAATGCAAAGTTTTTAATAATCGATGAATAATCTTTTGAAGTTAATCCACTATTATTTATATATGATTCAAGTAAACGTGAAAAATTATAAATTTCTCGAAAAGTAACATCATTATATAAACGATAATAACGTGGAATACTAAATTGTTCAAGTAAATAAACTGTTCCATCAATATTACTTTTCCATATATGTGATGGTTCAACTAATTGATGTGAACATGTTGTTGATGTTGATACATTACGACGTAAAATTGAAACAGTTGGTCGAGAAAGTATTTTTAATGATGATGTTTGTTTACGAAGATAATTTTCATTTGGAATATATTCATGATTAGTTGAAATTCGTACTGATTTTGATAGTGAAGGTATTGATCGTATTACATTTCGTGTTAATAAACGAGGAGAACTTGTTAATGATTGATTAAGACGATATGGTAAACGAAAATTATATCGATGAGGTGAAACTAAACAATAAAATAAAATTATTTTATCATTTAACAAAAAAAAAAAAAACAAACTAATAATTTGACATACGAATTCGATCATGATAATAAGTTATATGATTTCGACGTTTTGATTTTCTCTTATGAATATCATTTATACGTTGTGTTATTGGATCTGTAGATGATAATAAAAATTTAATTTCTTCATTATCATCATTTTGTAACATTAAATTAATACGTTTTTGTATTTGATTAATACATCCTTGATTATAACGAATCCATGCTGAATTTGTATCATGATTATTTAAACATAAATTACAATAATCAAAATGTGATTGTTGATGTCGAAGAGAATTTAATATTGAATTTGATAAAAGTATTTGTGATGATGGAATATAATCTTCAAACGTTTTTTTATATGTTTTATTTGTCATTGATTGATATTTTGTTTTTGTTAAACGATTTACTAATTCTGATGATGTTGAACATTCTTCTTTTGATTGTAATGATAAGAATGCTATATCTCGATAAAGTTGTGCTGTCTAAATAAAAAAAAAAAAAAAAACAATATAAAATTTGAGCAGAAAGAAAAAATGCATATGTTCGTTTAATAATTTTTTACTTGATTTGATTGTGTTGTTTTTGAATTTTGTAATTTTTCTCTATAATATTGAAGAACATCATCAATATCTAATAATTCATTATTAACAATGGCAATAGATCGTTGTCTTTCACGTAATGATCTTTCATATCTTTCAATTAAAGTTGCTAATACAGTTGATGATGTATTTTCTGAACTTTTTGTTCGTGTTCTTCGATATATTTCATTAGCTGAACAACGATATGGAACTTGAATATTACAAGGATTAGGTGTTGAATATGATATTTGATCAATTGTTGATGTATGTGTATTATAACCAGTATCAGAATATTTTGATGAAGTTCTTGCTCGGCGTAAACGATCATTTTCACCACTAGATAAAGTTTCGAATTGACCATCACTTAAATGATGATCTATATCACCATATAAATCACTCTAAATAATAACAATAGACAAAAAATATCTCATAAAAAAAATCTTAATTTGATTTACTCTTGGACGATGATTAATCAAAGGAAATAATCTTCTTGCATTATTTCCATCATCAATTTGATCAATAATTTCATAATTATTATTTATAGTTATAGACGATGAAGATTTTTGAATATGTGGTGATTGTGTTGATGATAATATTTGATTTCTTACAGATTCAATTTCTGTATTTTGTTCAGTAATTGTTTGTATTGATTGATCTTGTTGTCTTGAAGAAATAAAATTTATATATGTATTATGTTGTTCATTATGTCTTGTTATAAAACTAGATAAAATTATATTAGCTGGAAGTTGAAGCCACCATTGTGGATAATCATCACCAGTTGATACTGATTGATTTGAATATTTAATACCATTACGAATCATTGTTTTTATATCGTAATTAGAATTTGATGAAAAATCCGAAATATATGTATTTGCAACAGGTGATAAAAGATTTTTCTTTGTTTGTATATCAAGATTAAATAATTTAATGAATGCATCATCAGTTTCTGTTGATTTATCATGAGATTTATATCTAAACAAAGAAAATAAAATGATTAAATATTTTTTTTCTTTCTATTTAATATGGAAAAAAGACAAAACAAAACAAACGAAATAAATTTATACTCTGTTTGTGTCATTATTGAAATATGAACTCGATGTTCTGGCATTCGATGAATATGTACTATTTCTTCAGCATAATGTTTTTCTATATGTATCGGTCGATGTTCTTCAACTGTTTCTTCTCTAATATGTGGAAGAAACTGTTGTATACTAATTAAATGTTCATTATCCAAATTACATTGAATACTTTCTGAAATTCCTGATCGAAGAGCACGAGTATATTGATAATATGGTATACTATGATATTCATTAACTTCATGCCAAGAATGACGACGACGTCGATCAAATGTTGATACTGATTTTGGCTTATATCGTTGTTCAGCTATTAATATCGAACGACGATTACGACCTGATGTAAACACTTGAATAGCTGCATCTTGAACTAAATGTGGTTTTCCTCGTTCAACAACAGCACCATCAACTGTAGAAAAGAGAAATATAAATTAAAAAAAAAAACAAAAGGAAAAATTTATTATACCAATTATCCATAATTTGCACATCATAGGTAAACGAGTTGAATCTCCTGCAATATCCCATCGAATAACATCCGATATATCACAATCATCAATTAATGAACCAATACATCTTGCATTTTCTTGTTTAAAAAGTTCTTGTTTTCTTCCTACAATCATCCATGGATCTCTTCCATTAGCATATGAAAATGGTCCTCGTATACTAGTTAAACATTTAACATAAGGTCGAAATGGTACTAATGATGTACCACTTGGACGTCGTCGTCGTGGTCGTGGATGAATAACAATATTTAAATTATCATAATCAATAGGTTCTGTCGTATCGAGACTACTTAATTGTTGCATTTTTATTGTAAGAATTTATTTCGTCACTAACATCTAAAATAATCAGATTATTTCATTTTATATGTTTGATTTTTTTTTTTTTATAGACAAAAAAAAGAAATGAAAATCGAAACAACTGAATCAAATCATACCAATGAATAATTATTTCAACAAGATGAATAGTAGAATATGATTGTTACGTCTGTTGGTCATTCAGTTCGTCACTTTTTTTTTATTTCAGAAAAAAACAAAATTCAATAGACTTTTTTAAAAGGAAGAAAAAAAAAAGAAGAAGTGAAGGTTTCTTTTTTAATACAAACCGCAAATCAACTTAAATTGCATTACTTTTAATGGAAGAAAAAAAAAACAAACATAGAACATTTTTTTTGGGTTTTTAATAAACAAACTAACGTTTTAATTTGATTAGAAAAATCCATTAGAGTATTGAGACTTGCAAAAACGATTAATAGAATATGTTTATTTTTAATTAAGAATTATAAAAAAAGAAAACATTCCATTCATAGTTTTTCAATAGAACAATGATGAATCGAAGAAATCTTTAAATAAAAAAAGAAGACATTGAACTGCAGTATTATAATCCAAGGTTTCTTTTAGTTTTGAAAATAACAAAAGAAATTAATTTTCTTCTTTTAATAAATAACAATTATTAAATCAAAAATATAATTGGATATGAAGTTTACTTACAATATAAAATATTTTTTTGATTTTAACTATTAAATATAAAACTTATCAGACTTCAAATTTTCTTTTTCTATAGTCTCATAAACAATAAGTCGCCTTTTCTCTTTTTTTATATATTCTAAATATTATGAAATGAATTTTTCTTTTCGTTGTCTCATATTCTTTTTATATTGTACCACAAAGTCAAAATTACAAAACAATGTTGCCATTAGTGAATGTTGAGGTATTTCAAGTATTATTTTTCTCTATCTCCTGTCGATTGGTCGTCTAGTTTCATCAGTCTGTTTCTTTTTTTTTCAATGTAAACCATATAGTTTCTCTTTTCTCTTTTTTTTTTATTATGAAGCACACATAACTTAATGTTGTTATTATTGAATAGAGTTTAAAAACCATGGCAAGTAGATGTTGAAAAAAAAAAAACAACAAAAAAAAAAAATGGTTCTTTAATTGATTTTGCAAGTATATAAAATGTTTATGTTCGAAATTGAAATCAACTTTGTCGAGTAGGTCGTATGATTTACAAAGAAAAATGTGAAGAATATTAAAAAAAAAAAAAAGAAACAAAAGGATATTTTGTGAAGGTATTCGATCAAAGTTAATAGATTTTATATTTAATTATGAGGATTTCTATTCAAAATGTTTTATAGAAAAAGAAAAATCTTCATATAATATGAATTAAATTTAATAGTGCAGACTTGTCAATATATATTACGAACTCTGTATGACTATATTGTCAAATTTCAATTTAATTTCGTCTTATAGAATTATTTATGTCGACTGATGTTTTTATTTCTACAAATAGAAACAATATAAACCCAACAAGAACGATCATTTCGTTGTGATATTATTATTAGTGAAACCTTATCATATTTTGAAAAATAAATTTTTTTTCTTATTGATAATGTCAAAAGATTATTTATCAAGTTTCAAATTTGTTAAGAAAAATAATTTAATTAAAAAAAAACATAAATTGTAATTTGAAGACTGTTTTTTTTTGTTTGAAAAAAAAACAAACTTAACATTGAAAAGATTTTAATTTAATACCAAAGACTATATGTCAAAAAAGAAAATGGTAAATAAAAATGTTTTGACAATCAAAAGTCTATTATATTTATTTTGTTAAAATATGTGCCCTTCAAAATAAAAATTTAGTTTAAATTCATCAAAATAATCATTTTATAGTGATATGTATAATATTAATACATTTTAAGTTATCCTAACAGTTGTATGTAATTATTATTTTCTTTTTGTCTAATTATATAGCAAATGATTTCAAATTTAAGTCAACTTTTCGACCATGCAGAAATGATAAACACAAGTTTCTTCATTTATTGATACAATAGGAATAGATGAAAGTAATATTTATTATGGAGAAGTGTTTTAGTTTAACATAGAAAATTATCAATTATTACAAACTAAAATGAAAAAACACATTTTTCTATTGTTGTCTTTTCGAGAATTTTAGAAAGAAGATGTTTCCAATTACAATCTTGTCATGTCAAAAAATTCTTACTTTAATCTTATTACTCTGATTAATTTTTACAATACTTTATTATAATTCAATTTTTCATATCGAAGTGTGCCTTAGGTATCGAAAAAAAAAAATTTTTTTATATTATCCTTCTGGTTGAAATATTTACAGTTGACTAGAACTGAATATGATAATTAGAAATATGACATTTGTCTTCAAAAATCATTTGTTGACTTAACTCAATATAAATTGTTTGAAAATCTATTCATTCAATATGAAATTTTGTTTTCTCTATTAAAATCTATAAAAGTATCGAAGATACTCGACTCTTGATAAATATCGAATACGGCCGTGATTGATTCATATAATCACTAACAGTGTGTTTTACTCTTTTTTAAGATCTTATCATTGACAAATTCGATAAAGCACTTTTGCTCTAATTATTATTCTTGAAATCCAATGGATTTTCTTTTGTGACTGATATTCAACAATATTTGAACAGAATAATCGCCGTTCGCCTTCAGACAAATATGATATTTAGAGTGAGTACAATAACCTGAGACGACTTATATGTATTTAAAATTATTTTGTCAGCTTTGTTTTCGGTCAAATTTTGACTTTAATTCTCTTCAAGGATGTGCCGAAAATAGAATCTAATGAAAAAATTGTTTAATCAGCAGACAAGAGATGTTCTAGATCTGTAAAATTCTATTAGAAGTCAATATGAATGATGATTAAATAACCAAGTAATTATTTTAATAAAAATAATTTTTCGACGTATTGTTGAAGAAAATCTTAGGAATCAAAATTTGACTGAAGAACAAAGTCATAAAGATAATTTCAAATATATAAATCGACTTAGTTTTTTGTACTTATGTCAAACATAATATTCGTTTGAAGACAAAAACGGGGATTATATTATTTTATTCGAAAATCGTCAAATATCATTCGAAAAAACGACATAAATTGGGTCTTAAGAATAATAGAAAGAAAAGGTTTTGAATATCTCAGAAATTCTTATAGATTCTAATAGAGAAAAAAATTCTGCTTGAAATGAACCAGTTTTCGACGAATTGAACCTGAATTTTCAGGAGTCTTCAGATTAAAAGTTACTTTTTGTTAGAGCATACCTGAATTACTTTAGATATTTCTTATTATCTGACTAGATTTGTAATTAACACATTCATTTTGTATTTAATTGTAAATGTTTGAACTACAAAAAAAAAAACAATAAAAATTTTTTTCCAATACCGGAAGTATGAAAAATTGAATTATGATAAAATATAAAACAAAAATTGTAGAACATATAACTAGAATTCAATGTTAATTAGCGTAAGAATATTTTGGTATTCTAAAATTATTATTTAACGTACATTCTTCAGAGAAAAATTTCTGTTCTTCAAAAATATATAATTTTCTTAGTCTAAAATGTATTGTAATCATCTTCATATGAAAAGAAAATAAAATAATACCACAGTTATTATTACATTGTATGACAACTGTAGTACGTTTTATTTTTGGTTTCTAGACAAATTAGTCTGATGTAAATCTGTTTTTAAATGAATGCATCATTGAACATAATTTGCATCATATTATAAATAGATCAAATTGAAGTTTTTATTTGTTGTGACGTTTTTATTAATATAAAAATAATTTTTTTTTTTTTCACAGACAAAATATAAGATATCTATTGGCATCTATTTTTGACTTATCTATTAAAATAATAATGTTTTGAGTTTTTTTTGTTCGAACGTGATCTTCAATTTGTAGTTCGTAAAAATAATTATTTTTCAACCAAATATCATATTTCAATAGTTCGTATATGTTTTCTCTTGAAATTAAAAAATTGTTTAGTCAGTTAACAAGTCCATTTTTTTTTTCTTACCTTATTTAATATTTTATGTAACTATTGTAAATAAATTTTTTTTTTTTTGTGTCTAAAATTCATGTTGAACTATAGAATTAGTCTTGTTAAATATATTTATTTTTGTATGAAATTGATTAAGTACTAAAAATTTTCCAAACTTTGAAAAAGAATGATAAGTGCTTTATTTTTTATTCATCATCTATTATTTTTAACTATAATGAGTAGTTGGCCAGGCACAATATTTATATATTGTATTTTAAGTGCTTACATTAGACACATTTGCTTGTTGAAACGAGGTTTTTTGCACATAATTTTCCTAGAATATAATTTTCGTATGAATCTTTATATAGAGTATAAACTAATCATTTTATTCATTAATAATAAATTCTAAAAGACAAAAAAATTTATTTTCATGAAAAATATATCTTATAATTAAACAATTGATAGAAGTTTTAATGACATAAATAAAAAAAAACCTTGTATGAGTAAACATTTATTTTGATATAGCTTAAGACATAATTGATTGTCATACTTTTTATTAATATTCAAAGAAATTCTTTTAATCTAAAGTCAACAAAATTCATCACGTAATAAAACTAAATAAGAACATCGTGTCTTCTTCATTTCAGACATTATTATTTTTCTTAGTTCTAGGGAAAAAAAAAATATATTCACAAAGCAGATCAGTAGTAAAGCCAAAAAAACATGATTACATTATGAAAACAAGATAAGATAATCATTACAAAAAGCTTGATCTAACATAAAATATAACTTCTATATCGAATTCATTTATTGTAGAACGTTATGTGTTGTTCCGATCTTCTTAATATGTAATTTTAACTAAAATATTGAAATAAACAAAAATAAAGTTAGATAAACTAAATAAAAATAGAATTGAAATATGGTTTTGTACATTTAAATTGAATACGAATGAAAAGAGAAGCCTCAATATCAGTGTTTTCTTTGTTATCGATATATCAA